GAATCTTTCAGACAAATGAAACATTTTAACTGACATTTTTGCCACCAGATTTACTGCAAACAATAGGTAATGTGATGACTCAAAATAGGGACAAGGTTCATGAACAGCCACCATGAGTCATGTTTGATTTCACGGGGTGTCAGAACTCCGAAGTGTGAAAATGTGTTCCTTGGGAAACGCATCATCCTGCATGCGTGACTGGCGGGGAGGTATGAGGCTGATCCCACGTGTTCCCTTAGCACTGCAGGCCACTGTGTCTAGTCACCAAATCGACATTAGTCCCTGTTAGCCTGATTTTACATTTCATAGCAGTCTAATTTTCACTCCTTTTGCTCAGGGTGTGTAGAAGCTAGGATTTAATTATACATTGGGCTATTCATTTCCTCTGGTTTACTCGTGATTAGAACTTCATAATTCTGCCCCTCTATCCAGCTTATTGATTTTGAGGACTCTGGAACACAGTGAAATACCTCATGTAGTTGCATATATTGTAGCAAATGCATATTTTGTTTTTGGTATATGGTAGGAAAATTGCTGGCTCATTCTGGTGCCTCTAAACAGATTTCAGTTAACTAGCATTACCCCCTACACAAGTAAACCTGAATCATTGTAATTTAGAGATCTTGGGAGCTGTGTAATAGATTTTTAAAGTACACATTGGTTGTTTGAGGCTCCAAGTATAAGTGAACCAAATCCAAGAGTGGGTCAGTGGTTTAAAAATAATCTAATACTATCCTGTTCTAAATGAGGGGGTTTACAGCATTTACCTGTTAGGATTTTATAGTGCTGATCTGTTGTTAATCTCACACACATTTAGCTGAGCACCTGCATCTCTGTAGCAACAGTCATTGCAAAAAAGAATCAAGTACATGACAGCTGCTTTGTATCATTGTAAACCCAGGCAGTTTTCTCACAAGGGAGCAGATCTCACCCTAACCTCCAAGGTTGTGGAAAGTCCCCAGAGGTCTGCTGTGCATGTAGATGAACATAACTATGCTCGGAGAAGGGGGCAGACCTAACTGGTTCTGTCCTGGTTTCCTTAAATATTTTGGCAACCCTTGTTGGGGCAGTTGAGAATAATTGAATTGAACTGAGAACTATTAAGATTCCTTGCCACCTATATGAAATTCCCAGGCCCAATTCCACCCTTGGATAAAGTACTCTTTAAATTACCATTGACTTCAATAAAAATTAAACCAGGCTGAAGCTAGCCCCTCTTTTATTAGAAGGTTATAGGGTGGGATTTGGAGAGTGAAACAACTTTTACTGTCTGCCAATTATTTTTAGAGCCAGATGTTTGGGCAAATCATGGTTAAGGTCTCACTAATGGGGAACTTGAGTCCTAGAAAATGGCTGGTGTCTGCAGAATTACTTCTGTATACAAATATTTTATGGTACCTTAATAACTTATGTGTAATTCTTTCTGGAAGGCAACTGCTAAAGTGTGTGGTGCAAGGACCAATCATAGTGAAGGGGGAGAGGGCAGTTCTATCTCATCCCACACTGCACAGAAAATGTATCCCCTAGCCATCCCTTTGCCAGACAGCCACAATTGAATTTTCATAAGTCTGTACCAGATGTGAACATTGGCCCTCAGCCTGGTTTTAAACAAACAGGGTGAAATGGAGCTACCTCTGCCTTGCTCTACCTAATGTCTTTTAAGGCCCCATTTCAGCAAGGTGTTTATAAGCACAAAAGTAGTTCCACTGAAGTGAACAGGACTATCATGTATTGAAATGCTTACAGCCTCTGCAGTTATTGCCTGTGCAATGGGCAGTTGTCCATTTGCCATATGATAGATGACAGATGCCTCGTTGATTGATATGAATTTCTGTATCTTTAATAAAGACAAGCTCTGCAGTGTTCTACATGAAATGTAGTAGTTGAGAATCTCAGCTGTTTCCACATGGACAGATCTCAACATCACATGCTAGCCCACCAATTTGGTGCTGTTATAAGCATCCTGATCAGAGAGGGCAAGGACTGAATGGACACAGAGGCTTCGGTATGCCTAGACTGCAAAACACCCAAATGGTGGCAAACTCTGGTTGGCTAACCCAAGTCTGGGGTAACTCCAGTTAAAATACCAGTACAGATAGGTTAAATTGGAATTGCTCAGGTTGGTAGCTCAAATTCAACCCCAGACTCTCCAGTGTTAACAGTACACCATAGCTAAACTTTGTATTAATCAATAGGCTGCAACCTGTATTGGTCACATTTAATATAAATAGGAATTGGTTTTAAGTTCTGACTTTGAAAACCGGTTAATTCAATTAGGTCTAATTTTCAGTCTCTTGGATGATTTAATAACCACATTGTACCATTATCATTATGCATTGCCCAGATTGATTCTAACCCTATTTGTTCATGTGGCTTGGTACATGTACAAAGCATATCACAATGCTTTCTTGCTGTCTGTTTATCTCTTGTGGTTTAGGACTTGCTGTGGGCCTGGATCCAGAGGGATATGGGAACCCTGATTTCTGCTGGCTCTCTGTTCATGATACCCTTATTTGGAGTTTTGCAGGGCCCATTGTGATTGTTGTAGTAGTAAGTATTGTGGAGCTTGCATCTTGCACTAACTCTTCTGTATTACTACCTCTGTCTTTTTGTTATACCACCAACTAGAAGGGTCTCTTCCAGCCCTAATGTCTATGAAAAATGAAAACGATTTATAAGATGATTTAAACCTGAATTTTTGTATCCGGTTTGGCATCGCTTGTGTGAGAAAGTACAGTTCACATGAGCTAGGGCACTGTTTTTAGTTCCTCACATGAATAATAGTTACATAGTCAGACCCATCATCTTTACTTTTTCCTACCATGCTATTGAGGGTTTCATTTGGGGTGCAGACAGAAGTGACATTTTTTGCTGGATCTGGGCCACGGAAAGTAGGGGTCCACTGATATGGATTTTTGGGGCCGATACCAGCCCAGCAGCTTGAAGAGCTGCGTGCAGCAGGTAAGTCTGGTGTGGTGGAAGGGGAGTGGAGAGGGACAGATCAAGGCCCCCGTGGTGCGGGAGGAGTGGGGCTGGGGCAGGGACTGGGGCAAGCGCTGCCCAGCCAGGGTTGGGCAGGCGCAGGACGGAGCCGTGGCTTATCCAGAGGGGGCAGGGGGGAGGGCAGCTCCTGCCACTGTGTGCTGCTTGTCCAAGAGCTGTTGGTCCAGTGGCTCATTCAGTACTTGTCTGCTTGTCCAGTGGCTCCCATTGCTTGTCCGGGAAGGCATTGGGGGGTGGAGGGGAAGGGGAGGCATGTGCCTCCAGATCTGCATGGGGCAGGGTGGGCTCTTCTCAGCAGGCTGAGGCTGCACAGGGCGGGTGGCAGCGGTGCTGGGAAAGAGGGTT